CAACGTCAGTTTTTCATATTTATTCATTTTAACTAATTGATTGTTAATTTTTCTCTCGTCGGATGTTATCTGGATGCTAATAACCATTACTTTATAAGTTCTCTAGTTAAATAGCCTTTGAGCTTTGTTATTCACTTTTTACTTGCCATTCACTTATCTCTTGCTCATGATTATTCTCATTTCTTTTAATTATGATCTTTTCAGTGTTAATTTGATCTCCTTATCAATCTCACTTGCATAATCTCGTACTGCCATGTTATATCATGTTTGGTGTGAAATCATAAACACATTCTTTTCATTCTCCTGTTTTTGTTGAGAGAGGTTCCTCATTTTTCATTTTGATTCCAATGTGATTGGCGCCATTATGCTCTCATCCACACCAAAGTACGAGAGCTGGTCACTTTTGACCATGTATTGATTGATTCTCTATGGTTTTAGCGTAAGATTCAACGTAACGCTATGCGTTGCGTGTACATTTGCAGTCGTACAGCTGGTCCTGTGCCTGTTTCTGCAGTCCTCTGTCAGTTGGTATAATCCTATTGGATGGATTTTCACGTTATATATACTTCTGCTCCAACATGTATGTTAAATTCAAATAGTTTTGCTGTTCCGTTTTAGCCACGGATTTTAGACAGCTTCGTTTAAGTGGAATCGACTATTTGTTGGACATCTGTCACGACAACAACGAACGCTATTCGATGAATGGAATGTGATGGAAACATATCAGCCACGAGCATGGACGATGGGATATCTATTTGATGTAGGAAGTTTTGAGATTGAAAAAAAATTTGCTGAAAATCCTTTTTTAGCCAGAACCACCTACACCGTATTGTGACGGAAAACCTAGCGAAGAGACCGATCAGTTCAAGGCTATGCGAGATGCGGTAGGTTATAATCTTGAAGCTGCGCTTAGCGCGTTATTTTCAATAGTGCGGACTATATTTTCGCGATCCGAATCGGATCCGGATCCAATATAGCACGCTATAGTGCACACGAAAAAATGCGGCGCGTAAATATTTTGGACTGATGCAAGAATTATACCATTGAAGACGCTACTGACATGCTTTGCAAGTCCTATGAGCTTCTTGGTTAAGGCTATTTTGCGGTTAGCAATTTTTCTCGCTCGCCGTTTAGCGGCTTGGATCCAGATCTTTT